GGAACACCGCATTTCAAGCTTGAATCTTCTCAAATTCTCAATGCAAATTATAATGCAAAACATTTTGAGCTGGAAATGCCCCATTTGGAGCTCACTATAGCTGTTTCCAATTTGAAAACAACTATTCCAATCTCATAGGCTGTGTTCTGATGTCATCCCAGTATTTTGAGCTAAAAGCCAATGTTGCTTTCAGCTTGGAACATTCATCTTGGAGTCAAAACACTTCTTGGAGCAGCATCAGAACGTGATCTGTAAGGTCAGAACAGCTCGTCTGGAACTTGAAATATTTTGAATTTTTTGGACCAAAAATACAAAGGATGGGAAAAAGGCAAGGAAGATCAAAATCAGGCCAAAGGTCACAACCATAAGGTCTGCAATTTAAAATCAGGAAAGGTTATGATGGCTGTGATCACTCAACAGGCTTAACCAGATCAGGTAAAGACTGAATAGATAATTCATAGACATTCTAGGCTTTGTTAGTGTTAAACTTAATTAAATTCAGCCCAACCTGCTTGGTTAGTCAATGATTCATTCTTTTGTGCAAATTCAGAAAATGGATTAAATGAATAATACCAGATTAAGGTCTTGTGCGAATGCAGCTTACATGTACCCCCAATACATTTGGCAGGAGATCAGGTTAGGAAAAGCTGCCCTTAAATAAAGAGAGATCTGATTAAACATGATTGATTATGTGCCATCTAGTTGTTTTTGACTTCTAGAGAACACATAGATAAAGCATGATTATTAGACTTACATTCAGTCAACTTTTTTTTTAAAAAAGGACATAATATTAATTTAATATATCTTAGTAGACAACAATTTGGCCTGAAATATTTATTTAGTAAAAAGATCATAAAATAAAATATGCATAATGAGGTTTAACTCCTCATTGAGACAAATACAAAACTGTACCTAAAATATCCTGGGAACAGTCATAAAGATTTAAAGACAGTGATGGAAATTTAATTGTATTCCCCCTACTAAAGGGGAAATAACATCCACCCAACAGAATAGATTCCCTCTCTTCTGGAGAATCCTCACTATTGTTCTTGTATGTTCTTCATCCTCCTTCCACCCATTTTCTTCACAGAGTTGAAAGCGCAGAGGGTGAGGAGATAATGGGGAACATCTACTCCGCAAAGAGAAGCCCCATCATCTAAAGCTGAGGGACTTTAATAGCATGTGCTTGTCATACATTAGTTGTTTAAACCTTGATGTTGAGCATTGGGAATGCTTCAATGTAAAATGTGGGTCTGCAGCTACCTTCTTTTCCTTCTGGGGAACTCTGGAGAATGAGCTAATTCTCTTTGGGCACTGCTGTTCCACAGGTATGATTACTTGCCCCAGCCTGACTGTTTGCACATTTGCACTGCCTCCAAAGATCAGTTCTGCCACCGTATTTAAGTTAATCTCCTTGGACTGTCTAGGACTGAGTCCAACCGGAACCAAGATAGAGAGGCTGTCTAATCTGGTCAAAGGCGTGTGTGAATAGATAAATTCAAAATTTTAGCCTCTTACTAGAAGAATGAGCCAAACCGAAATTGGGGGGGGGGGGGGGAAAGAAAAGAAAAAAATTCAGAGCTTCATACAACAAAGTTAACCTTTGTTGTTCTCCAGCTCTGTTATAGCAACAAAATCTGCTTCATCTGAAAAATAGCCCCCAAAGTTACAAAGCAGGCAAGAACTCGGAATCAAAACCCTCAGAAAAACCATCTGGCCCTCACAGGTGCACCCATCTGAGAAGAAGCTAAAGGCCATGGTTATTTTGTTGGTGTGGCAAGGATCTGGACACTGATTCCGGGAAAATGGGTTGTAAAGTACAACAACCCCACCGCTTATAGAAACATTGATGTTCTCCAGGCCAACAGCTGCAAGGGCAATCATTGTAACCCTCTAAATCAGTGTTCCTCAACCTCAGCAACTTTAAGATGTGTGGACTTCAACTCCACACATAGCATAGCCATAGCTGGCTGGGGAATTCTGGGAGTTGAAGTCCACACATCTTAAAATTGCTGAGGTTGAGGAACACAGCTCTAAATTATTTAAGAGTGAAACAAAGTCATCACAACTTTATCCAATGGAGAGAAGAGGAGAAAAGAACAAAACCCCAGTGTCAGTCAAGTTAGCCATCTAGCCAAATCCATAGGTTCTGTAGTGTGTGCACCTTCAGGGAGGTTTCTTAGTTGTATTGATCCACTAAAAGTTCAGTCTTATACACATTTACCAGGGAATAGGCTTCATTGAGAACCATGAACCTTAATTTTGATTGGAGGTATATCAGACTGCATTATAGAACTTTATTTGTCTGTCAGATTTATATCCTGCCTTTCATTTAGAAGCTCAAAGCAGCAACCATAAACACCCTTCTTCCAATTTTTCTCTACCCCCCCCCCCCCCCCGGCAGGTTGGGCTGAAAGAGAGTGACTAGCCTAAAGTCACTCATTAAGTTTCCATGGCTGGAATCTGGCTTTCTGCATACATCTGTATTGGAATAAATAAACCATTAATACAAAAGGAAAACAAATATTTCATTTTTTGATAATGTAGGCATATGTCATAACAGTTTTATCTTCATGGACTGCTGTGGGCAGAAGGAGGTAGATAGGTGGGATTATATAATGCACTAAAGTACAATTTTTTTAGCCATTGTTTATTGGCTAAACCACAACTGATTGAGTTCATACAACACACTAAGCCATAAACCATGGTTTAATAATTGCCTTCCTATAGCGTGCTAAGCCAAACCTAAACAAACCAAGTTAGCATGATGGGCAAACCCAGTCATGTTGAGGTTTGTAGCACCCTGGAACAAAAGGAGTCAGGGAAATGCTTTATCTAACGCACACACACAGCCCACTTGCTTCCAGTTCCCATATGACACTAGTCATTCCCTACCTGGTACCTTCCAGATGTTTTGGACTACACTGCCTATCTTTCCCAGTCATTTGGTGCAATCGAGGAGACTAAACTAACAAGAATACATTTTATTTCTGAACCAGTTCAATTCCACTAATACAGGGATGAGAAACTGATTGTTACTCTCTCATGGATAATCAGGGAACTGATGCTGGTAATGCAAGGAATTAGAATCCAGCATACCAGCAAAGATGTATTTGTTGAACCATGGTTTACTGAATAAATCAGAATCATTTTGGTTTTGCGCAGCGTGCAAATCCTACCATACACCCCCACCCCATTTGGCTGAAGGAGTGGGAGATAAACACATACCATTATTTTTTTTTTCACTTTCTTTTTTTAAGGGGCAGTATGTTATTCAAAAGTTGCACTTTGTTTCTCCACCAAAGTTGTTTTAAGTTTGGAGTTTGTCCTTCTTTTTTAAAAAAGGTAACAATCAATGCAGACAGAATGTAACTGTAATCCTCCAAGACTCTTTAGCAGAGTGCCAGAAGCAAGTTTGAGCCTTGCTTAGCTGAATTCTTACCTCCCAAGAAGTAAAGGTTATAAATAAGCAGAGAAATACATATCTATATTTAGCCTGCAGAATGGTGTCTAGCGCACTCTAAAAAGCAAAATCCCCAAATGAGTTATGAAAAATAAAATGTCAATGCCTCCATTCATGCAACTGAACCATAAACCAGCCAGCCACATTTTAACCTAACACATTGTGTAAGCCTAAACTAGGTGGTTGGCCCATAATTCAGTATGTTGTGGGAATCTGAAAAAATGGGTTAAAAAAAACAAACATGTTTCAATTCAACCTAGACAGATATGTAGGAGGGTTTTCACTCTGGGTCTTTTCTGCTACAACCTGGGCTGAATGAGTTGCCCCATCAGCTGTTTGCACTAGAAAGCAAGCTTCAACTTCTACAAATGGGTCATTCCTTCTAAAGCAAAGAGAGTATGCTTGGTTTAGAAATGCAGCAGGGGACAAAGGGTTAACAGCCTTGCAACTAGCCCACATTCAGATATAGATTGGGAAATGGTCCCCCCATTGGGATCTGCTTTCAAAATCAATTCAATAAATTGTTCATGTAAAGAAGGACTCAGGATAAGCATCTGTTGAGCCTTCCACAGAACAACCCTCTGTCTGAAGGAATGTCCCATCCAGGTCCACTTGAACGAACCAGAAAGCTCTGGAGACCTGAATGCCACCACTCAGAGTTAGCACCCTAAGAGCAGACAGAACAGCTAGAGATCACCTGGTTTCAATTCATCCACTATGGTGAAATGGATTACATTCAACTTGCCCCTGGTTCTAAGTTTGCATTTTTGGTATAAATTTAACTATGACAAGTTTTATGCAATACTGTGTTTGTTTGGGGTTCTTTGGACAGCCAGCGGAGCTCTCCAAAGTCCTGGAGACCCTGACATTCAATCAGCTGCTGTTAAATT